ATAACTACATATTTTCTCTAAACTGAACAACTGGTTCTCATCAGATACTGAGGGCATACTGCAGCAAACCACCAATTCCAGTACACAGAGAATACAGATGTTGATTTTTTTTTTTTTTTTTTTTTTTTTAACCACTAGGAAAATAACAGCCTCATTTAAAAAGCAACCACAACAAAAAAGAACCTTTGGCCCTGTACCTGAGTGTAGAATTCAATTTCAAGAGTATATAAGCTTCTGAAACTACAAACAGGTCAACTTTTTTTAAATCACAATGCTGGCTTTCATTGTTGGCTCTAAGTATGGTCTATGGAAGTCAATCTAGGAAAAACATTACACAGTGCTCTGTGAGACCTTTCTCAGCAAGAGGGATGTGATGGGTTGCTCTTTGGGGTCCCTTTAAACCTCTCCACTCCTCTGCCCCCAATAAAAAGCACTGCTGGCAGAGTAGCAAATTGCAGATGATGGTAATTTATAAAATACTGGAAGGTTGTTTATCTATTACTTCATGTCAAACCAGTCCTGCACCCACCAGTGGGACACTGGTGAGAGTGAAAATGAACAAGCCAGCGGCTCCCGAAGGCTGCAGGGCAGCTGTGGGGACTCGGCTAGGCCTAGCGCCTGGGGGAGACTCCTCTCGCCTCTTGTCCTCACAGTGAAGGAAGACAGTAGTACAAATTCCTTAAATTTCAGGTGATAGGAAGTGGCCTGATTTCTGCGCAGCTTACGAGTTCTCCTTCTGCACACATGCACTGAAGGGAAAAGCCCCTGGTGGACAGGAGCTAAAGGAGACGGCAGCAGCATCCTATAAATATTGTGGACGTGAACATAATGAAGAAAGATGATCTCACTGAAAATGCATGTAGAAGGAGCCATGTATAAAAAAAGAAATACAGAAAGCCCAATTTTCTGAAGCATTGAGGCAGAAATACAGTATCATTTAAATTAAAGACAACGTTGTCCAGGCTCAGTGTTACCGGAAGCCTGTGGCTGCCCTCATCCATGCATTAATTTCATCAAACACCTATAGAACACATCTGCTGTGTTGTGAGGGCTTTAGGCCAGGCTGCGCCACCTGGGCTTATCGGGCCTGGCATTTCTATGACACCCTGAATTACTGAGGGCAAGCTTAGGATTATAAATCAAGCAGTTCTATGAAAATAAAAACTTTAGGCTGCTTCAACAAAGCAGTCAGGCTCAGGTTGCTGTGGTTCGATCCCCACAACTCAAGCCAGCCAAACCTGCCCTGAAGGCATTCAGAGCAAAAAAAAAAAAAGAAAGAAAAACTCTTATTCACATTGTGCAATTAAAAACAAGTCAAAAGGGATTCAAAATAAAAAGGAAGGAATTCATAATGTTGGATACCTACTTTTTGAAAAGCCAAGAGGCTGTGCTGTATGTGTTCAATTTGAAACCATCATCCTGATATGTTTAGGAGTTTAATTTATGGCACAATCGAGCAATCTTTATATTTCACATTATATGCCTGAATATTATAAATCACCTTAAAGGAACATTTATGTAGGAGTTTCAGTGAAATTTCTGCACAACTTGTCACTTTTATTGTATAGCAGTGATTTGTAAAAAAATGATATGCTAAGTAATCCCGGAGTATAATTTAGGGACACAAAAACAACTGTCAAGAAACAGCTAGAGACTACATTTAACGAAATCGTTACAGACTGAAGTAATAAGTATTAAATTAATCAACACATCTTAATTGAAGCTCTAGCTGTAACATTTTTTATTAGAGATCTTATTAATGAACCTTTAAATGCTACCACTAACTTGAGCTCTATGTTAAATTTAAATAATGAACCATTGTTCCCACACAGAAAAGAACAAACACTATTTTAATAGCCCTTTGTCTCCACCGGGCTTTCACTCTGCCTAGAGAGCGATGTGCAGGACTCAACCTACTTCCCTGCCAAAGTATCTGCCCCACTGTCACCACGGCAGATGTGACAGCAGGAAGTGACTGCTGTGAAATGGGGAGGAAGGTAAGCAGGCAGGAGCTAGGACTGGAAACAGTATGAGGATTCTGGATGACCTCACAAGCGAAGCTTTGAAATCTGTGCTTTCTATAAACCCCCACTTTCACAGTCTTGCACCACACAACAGTGCTCCAGCCCAGGACAGCAGCAAGACAACAGGATGCCACACCCCGCCAGGCGTGCAGGGGGCAGCACCACCTCAGCCTCTTGACGCTCACGCAATGGAAAGGTCCCCGGAAGGCGTGCTTCTCAGGTGCACACCCGTGGTAGGAGATGGCTTAGTGGAGGGGTGTTCTGGTTAGGACGGGTGCACACTTACCTGAACATGTCTCCCAACCCCTTCAGCATCCCCTTCTTGGCCTTCATCTTATCCTTGTCCTTCTCTCGATCTTTCTTCTTCTCCTTTCCAGCTTTGTCTTTTCTCCGATCAGCTTTGTCCCCTTTTTCTTGGTTTCCATTCATGTGTCTTTCCAGAGAGTGTGATGGCTGGTCGCTGGCTGTAGAGACAGACTCTCTCCCTGACCTGGAACTTTCCTCTGTGTCTTCTTCCACTTGAAAGAAAACGGAAACAAAATTTTAAAACGGACAGTGAGGGAGGTCAACAAAGTGACCAGAAACTAGAAGACTCAGGAGGTCTTGACCATCCCCGCTTTCAACAGGTGAATGGCTCTGCCATCAGCATGGCTGGCAAAGCTGCTAAGGGCTGATGGCACCAGAAGGGGATGGTGTGGGCATGTGCCCTGCATGTAGCTTGACACCTCGAGTGAGGGGAAGCAGCTTCTGGGCTGAATGTCATGACAACATCCACTCAGGGTCCTGAGCACTAGTTTGTAAAACAGCTAAGCAAAACCAGAAGCCCCTGCTCCTCGCACATGCTCCTGTGCCCCTCACTGACAGAGGAGGCACTTGCACTGTGGCGCCTCTTCAAGTTGCTAAGCCGCACCACTCCTGAGTGTGCATGCCAGTGCCAGCAAAGTACTCCTATTCCGGGCTCCTCGACACGTTCATGTGAGGTTTCTGGACACAGGAGAGAGGAACTTGCTTTACATAGATAGCACAGATCCTCACAGCCTCTGTAACTTTTCCTTACACTGTTACTGCGGGAGACCCAACTGCCTAAATAAGTGCTACTCCAAGTTCTACATGTTGAAGTTCTCAATAACTCTACATGCCCACCTGTGCAGTGGCAGGCAGAGGAGGACAGAGCCATGCAAGGGGGTCAGGGAATGATCCTCACTTCTGCAGACTTTACAGATGAAAACACAGTCGTGACAACGTGAGATTCTTGGGGCCAATGCTTTAGAATAGATGGTCCAAGGGCAAAGCAACTCCCTGGCTTTTTGGAGTTGGAAGAACAAGCAACTAAAGGAGAATTCTAAATTTGATTCAGAATCTTTTTATCAAGTAAGAAGCATGAATGCAGAGTAATAGTAATTCAGAGAAATCTGCTCTGAGATTCGTTGCCTAAAATGGCCTTTCAAATATAGTAAGAAGGTTCAGGGCTTCAGGTGACTTCTTGAAATCAAAAGCCCCCCACCCCATTTCATAATGAACAAAGTATGGGTCAGTTTTTTTTTTTTTTTTTTTTTTTTTTTTTTAAGTTTCTAGCAACACACAAATAATAGATCATCTCAACTTTGCGCCAAGAAAGGACCTCAAAACCAAATTTATGTACCTTAAGGGAAACACAGGCTTGTCTGTCTGGAATTAGCAGTATGTAATGTCACAGCATCACACCAGCTAAGCAGTACTTCTCATGTGATCAAGGGTTTGTTCATGAAGTCTTAGCCCATACCTATGTCTCCAGGAGGAGCGGGGACCCTCCCTTTCAGCAGATTCAGTGTTTTAGCATCTGTATCTTGATCCACTTTGAGTTTAGGTTATTACATGGAGGGAGACATGGGTCTAGTTTTAGTCTTAGCATATGGAAAGCCGGTTTTCCCAGGATCATTTATTCAAGAGGCAATCTTTCCTCCAGTGAAGGTGTTTGGCCTTTTTATTAAAGATAAGGTGACTGAATGTGTTTACAGTTGTTTTTGCATCTTTTAGTCTGTTCCACTGACCTTCAGGTTTTGTTCTTTACTGGTACCATGCTTTTTTATTATAGTAGTTTTGTACTATAATTTTAAGTCAGGGATTATAATATTCCCTGCTTTGCCTTTTTTTTTTTTTTAAATAAAATAGAGTACTACTCAGTTATAAAGAAAGATAAACTTGAGATGTTTCTAAATACATGGATGTACTTTGAGACCATATTCTTAAGTAACATAAATTGGAAAGACCTGTGTAAATAACTCACAGTTTCTCTAGTATGAGAAATTGAAAGTATAAACGAAGATCAAAATGAACAACTGATATTGTGAAACAGGAAGAAAATATTCAAATAGGAAGGGGAGCTAGGTAGGGCAAAGGAAGAATGGGGAAAGAAAACATAGAAAAGAAGGAAGAAACTGAAACAAAGCTTTTCTAAATAAGCAAGGGAAGGGGGAATAAAGGGAAGGAAAAGGAATGGCAATAAAAAAGAAGAAATACCATGGGCAGGTACAAATTCCCTATGATGACTATGATCATTATATCTACCCCAAATGTACCAATAGACAATTTCTAAAAAGGTACTCCCAATTTCAGTCCTATGCCATTAAACACTCACAAATATGAGTAGCAATTATTAAACAATGACTTAGTCAGGCCCAAGTAATACCCTTTTGGTTTTTTAAAATTCTAGTTACCAAGTGTTATATAAAAAACAAAATTAAAGAATTCTTTTCCTTGATATATTTGATTAAAAACATGAACCCAAAAGCTCCTGTCTCTGCAGGCCATTCCCTAGTCACTGTGTCTAAATCTGGAAGGTCCTTGGAGGTCACACGGACTAATTTCCTGGACTTAGCATCAGTGCCCTTGCGTTCTGGGGCCACCATGTCTGCTCTAATAACACTGTACGGTTGGACTTCTGCAAGACCTTCCTGTATTGCTTGATAATTCCATTTGTGAATGCTCAATTCCATGCTTCACGCAGCAGGCACTGGTGCTCTATCCTAAAAGGTAATCCTGGGTGCCTGCACTGCATTTCAGAAGCCTACTATCAATTTTACGTGGTCACTTAAGGCTGGGATTTGTGGCTCATACTGATGAACCTAACCAGGAAGCCACAATCAATGGGCATAGCAGACTCTGGGCAAACTACTCCCCACTAAAATGACTTTAGAAAAGTTGTCCTCCTGCCTGTATGGGGTTATCAAACTGTGAGCCACCTTCCTTTTCCAAGGGGCCAAGTGGCACTGAGAAAGTCTGCTTCTTTTTCTGTCCATCAATTAATGGATAAATAGTGACTATGCAGGGTTTTTAGAGGAAGGCAGTTATCACTTTCAGATGGACATGGTCAAATCCGCAGCCTCACAGATACTGCTGAGTTAAGACTATAATTTTTGTGGCACACTCAGAGCATGGAAAAATAAACCTGCCAACTGGCCTAAGGGCTTGCTAATTAGCTGTAGTTTTTCAAACGACAGCTCCCCAAGAGAATGCAAATAGAGTTTAAGCAGCACTGCAGCGTCTTGTCTAGTGCCCTTGGACACAGCTGTGTTCGATTTGTAGACCACTGCTTCAACTTTTTGGGAATGTGTGTGGCCCTAAATTTAAGGTAATTGATCAAAGTAGTACAAAGCAATTCCTCAAAAGTATAAAACCTACCTCTGTTAGCGCAGTCAACAGGCTGCAGAGCGCTAGTGCATGTTCTACCATCCCGAGTGGCAACCAGCATTCTACTTCCATGGCTCTTCATATGACACTTTATTTAATACTGTAGCTCTCACACGCTATTTCTCAAACATCTGCCTCCCATTCTCATACTCTTAAAACAAGGACTGCCAGACAGACAGCGGATACACATAAATGCCTACTAACATGAAAGACTGCTGGCTGACCTGACCAATGCCTTTCAAACCAACTGCTGAATATCAACCTCCCTCAATCTTCATAAAAATGCCCTGCTTCCTCTACTCAAGACTGACAAAACCAGCCAGAACCCGACTACAGTCACACTGTAGATGCCCACTGCATGTGGCTTAGCGCTAATTGGCTTCTGGTATATTTTTACACTGTTATTGTTAGTGGTATATGTAATGTGTAATGGATTTTATAACCCTCTACAATGTCTGAAACTATAAACAAAAAAATGAGCTCAATAAACGTAAATGAGTTAGTCTTCCACAGCAACCATTATCATAAATCATGAATGGAAGTATCAGTAGTGATTTTGTTAGTTTCTGCCTAATACTTCTGGCAGGAGTTCAAGGGGCATATGTCTGCTCTTGGCTCTGTAACAGAATAAAGGCGGTGCCTTCACGACTTACTATATGCTGAAGTCATGTTTGTTGCCAATTTTCCTCATAGTCACAATAATTTTCTGGTGTATGTAATACAACTTATTTTCTAAATTGGGTGAAATACAGAAAGTATTAAATCATTTATTAACTTTGGGTTTTGTAACCTCATCTTATAAAATCAAAACTACTTCCCTTTCCTGCCCCAAGCCAGTGGATTGATCAAAATGATATTTACACAGTTGAGAATTCTTTATGCTTATTCTAATTTAGATAATATATTATCGCAGAAACTCTACTGGGGGTATACTGATCTAACTAATCCTTTGAATGCCAACTAATTAAAAATATTTAGCAATATGGAGCTTCATATGTATAAACATAAGATGTTCTTTTAAAATATCACATCTTATATATGCTTCAAACTCAGATATTGTTCAATAAAGAAAAAATAAGACTCTTTCATTTTGGCCTGCCCTTATGTAAAAGAGCCATGGCTGATAAAAGCACATATAAATTGGCTACGCATGGTATTTTTTGAAAATATATGTATACATACTCAAGGTCACTGATGACTTCTTCAGACTCTAAATTTTAAAACCAGATTTTATACTTGTAATAGTAGCTTATATTATAAAGATCATAAAATATTTTTATTCCATTAAGCTAAAAAAAAACCCACAAAACACTCATGTGAATAATTTTTCAACTAAGTACTAGTAACACATCAGCAGTAAATGATTTGATCTATTGTGTTTATATGGTAAATTACAATAGAAGAACTAATCATTAGCTTATCTTTAGGTAATTTACTATTTTAAATGCCGTATAAATTCTGATGTTTCCACTTTAATTTTGCTCACCTTTACAGATTATTTACTGTTCTTTTCAAGATAGCCTGAACAAAGAAAGATTATCTCCTTCCAGACAAATAGAAATGTCTATTTTTGACAATATTTCTGCCTGTCTTAACCTGCTCTGTGTACCCAGCTCTCAGCCACTTCCCGTGTGATTACTGATAAAGACAGGTACTTTTCAGGTTTCTTTTTTTAAAGAAAGCAATGCGTGAAGCTGCTTATTTCTCTTTCACACAGTACAGTCATTCTGCAATTAAGACATACCTAATTACCATGTTTTCAACAGATGCAAATGTAGCTCAATTAAAATTCTAGCCCATGTTACAAATTAAGCTGCTCAATTCTGTAGGTATCATGGTGAGATGAGGT